TCTTTCTTTCTTTCTTTCTCTTTCTTTCTTTTCAGAGTCTTGCTTTGTCGCCAGGCTGGGGTACAGTGGTGCCATCTAGGCTCACTGCAACCTCCCAGATTCAAGTGATTCCCCTGCCCCAGCCTCCTGAGTAGCTGGGACTACAGGCATGTGCCACCACGCCTAGCTAATTTTTTGTATTTTAGTAGAGACAGGGTTTCACTGTGTTGGCTAGGATGGTCTCAATCTCTTGACCTTGTGATTCACCCGCCTTGGGCTCCCAAAGTGCTGGGATTACAGGTGTGAGCCACTGCGCCTGGCCAAATGCTTTAAACTTTTATATGATCTACCAGCTTATCAGTAATTTAAAAGGTGGATAATATTGAGTGTTGATGAAGGTGGTTAGAAATTGGTATGTTGGCCGGGCGCGGTGGCTCAAGCCTGTAATCCCAGCACTGTGGGAGGCCGAGGCGGGTGGATCACGAGGTCAAGAGATCGAGACCATCCTGGTCAACATGGTGAAACCCCTTCTCTACTAAAACTACAAAAAATTAGCTGGGCATGGTGGCGCGTGCCTGTAATCCCAGCTACTCAGGAGGCTGAGGCAGGAGAATTGCCTGAACCCGGGAGACGGAGGTTGCGGTGAGCCGAGATCGCGCCATTGCACTCCAGCCTGGGTAACAAGAGCGAAACTCCGTCTCAAAAAAAAAAAAAAAAAAAGAAAAAAAGAAATTGGTATGTTGATGGAAATATATATTGGTAAAACTATTTCAAGGCTGATTACCCAGAAGCTATTAAACTTGCATGTCCTTCAGCCTTGCCCACATCCAGTTTTCTGCCGTTATAACCTAAGTGCACATTAAGAGATACGTGATTAAATGAACTGTGTGATGCCTCCATACTACGGAATGTTTTGCAAATGTTATACAAAATGAGGTAGGCCTGTGTACTAGCAAGAAAAAGAGCTCCCAAGATGTACCGTTAATGAAAAAAGCAATTGCAGAAGATAGCTATGTAGTGTGATCCTGTTTCCATAAAAACAAGAATGAAAACTGCATGTGTTTATGCAAATCTATATGAATAGTTAGGAATGTGGATATGGAACAGTATGTCCCAAGTTGATTGTAGTGATGTTCTGTCTGGAGGGTGAGTGCAATGGTGAGAGCACCAAAGGGCTACTCTGCATTTGCATTATAATAATCACGTTCTTTAGAACGAGAAAAGATCTGTGTTTTGTGGAGGTAAAAGGAAAAAACAGGCTGGGTGCAGTGGCTCATCCCTGTAATCCCAGCACTTTCAGAGGCTGAGGCGGGCGGATCGCCTGAGGTCAGGAGTTCGAGACCAGCCTGGCCAACATGGTGAAACCCCGTCTCTACTAAAAATACATAAATTAGCTGGGCATGGTGGCACACGCCTGTAATCTCAGCTACTGTGGGGGTTGGGGGGGGCGTTTAGGGGGCGGCGAGGCAGGAGAATTGCTTGAACCTGGGAGGCAGAGGTTGCAGTGAGCTGAGATTGCACCACTGCACTCCAGCCTGGGGCGACAGAGCAAGACTCATCCCCCCCCAAAAAAAAAATTTAAATGATCTCTTTGTGTCCTCCCTTAGGAGAAAGCCCAAAGCTTGTAAACTCTCACAGGCCCTTGAAATCTGTGCCCAGCTTTCTGTCCAGCATCCTTTCTGGCCCCTGGACCCCTTGCTCACTGTGTTCCAGCCACACAAGCCACCTTCAGTTGCTCAGATGGACCAGGTTTCTTCCCACCTTTATGTAGGTTGTTTTCTCTGCCTGAGAGACTCATCCTCCGCTCCATTCCTATTCCCAACTCCACATTCTGATCTGTTTGCCAGGCAAAGTCTTGGTCATCCTTGAGGAGCCTCCCCTGACTTCCCTCCTAGGTGCCTCCTGACCACCATCAGACCAGATCAGGCCTTCCTCCTGCAGCCGTTATGCCCTTGGTTTTCCCTTCATGACGTTCATCAGAGCTGTCATTAAGTGTTTAATCTCTGTCTCTCCCCCTGGTCAGGGACATTTGTCTTGTTCACTGTGGTACAGGCAGCTCCCACCTGAAAGAGTGGCACATGGTAGGCCTTCAGTAAGTATTGGGATGAATGAACGATGTGCTTTATTTGGTCTATTTCAAGGGATGCTATGATTATGTGAAAAATTTAAAGAATAGTATAAAATAATTCACTAATGTATGAAAGCATTATCATACTCTGATAATTATATACAGTTTAATCAACGTTGTAAGCTTTTTTCTTCCTTTGTACATCTGTCACGTATTTTGTTTCTATTATTAAATATAAATTTTTGGCATTAAATACTTTTAAGGTTATGATTGTTTTAGGAATAATATGACTAATCCCTGTTACTTTCTATCCCGAAACACTGTACTTTCACACCAGTGTGTGGCTTATGCATGAAAACTAAGTTCTGTTACTCTCTTCATGCAAAAGATTCTAAGACTGGCTTATTTTTATAACATAGACATACACTGATACTTCAGTTTGGGAATTCTTGCACTGTGCTTGAGGGGCTGGCATTTTTATTTACAATAATAAAATGACCCCACAGCAGTTCTGTATAGTGTCTGAGTATGTACTAGTCACAGTCTTTTAAGCATGTGATGTTTCCTAAACAGGCAGATGAAGCATATTCCATCGGCCCTGCACCCGCCCAGCAGAGCTACCTTTCTATGGAGAAAATCATTCAAGTGGCAAAGACCGCTGCTGCACAGGTGAGGGTTGTGAAGAGATTTGCAGTGCTAAAGGAATAATGTTTTATGCAATTGATGTAGAGCTACTTACAGAAATTTTCTAATTTTAGCCCTTCCCAAGATCTTTACATTTGATTATTGGATTATCATTGTAAACTAGGCATGTCCCATCTTATTTCTTAGCCAGTCTGCCTTTTTACTGAATCCTGTGCACTTTAGATTTTTTGGGAAGTAGGTGGAGAGAGGGTCTAAATTCTAAGTTCAAATTAGGAGAGAATTCAGCTCTCTGTCCTCAAAACTATTCAGCTCAAGTCCTCTGGGAGAAATAGGTAGGTAGAGCTCTAAATTACAAGGTAAAATATAAGCAAGCAAGAAAGATTTTTCCATCCCAACTTCCCAGTCTCCTTCTAGGGCCATGTAAGGAGCTTCAGGGAGACGGTTCAGGCATATGGAATTGCCAGGACTCTGAGATGATAACAAGGTCGCTGTTCAAGGGGGAAAAGTGCTCAGAGCGGCTGGAGCGAAGGCAGTGAGGGGCTGTGTCACTCAGGTATGGTCAGTAAAACAAATTCCGTTTGACATTTCAGCAGAAGGAACTTAGTTTAGGAATTAGTTCCAGTGTGAGAGCACTGAAGCGGGGCGGGATGTTGAAATTACCCCATAATAATAACAGAAATTGACAACCACCCTTTGGGTTGGAGGAGAGACTGGCAGAGGGACCTTCTGCAGCTGTCGTCAGATCTGTGGAGGGGCCTCCCTGGCTGCAGGGGGCTTAATGAGGCTGGTTCTCCAAGTTCCAAAAGAACCTGAAGACTGGAGCCAGCGGCCACTGCCCTGAGCGAGGAAAGAAGCTTCCTCGTCCACGTTTCCCTACAGCGACCCCTACTGGCGAAACCTAACAGGAAGCCCACTGGCAAAGAGGCAGAGCCCCTTCACAAGGCGCCAGCTGGAATCGGTTTGCAGCTGGGAGAACCAACTGACAGGAAGAAAGTGGTAGGAGACGATGGGGCAGAGGGAGCTAGAGGGAGGTAGGGCTAGCGTCATTTACAACATTATAGGTCTTTGTTTTTTTGAAACAAGGTCTTTGCTGTGTTGACCAGGCTGGAGTGCAGTGGCACCATCATGGCTCACTGCAGCCTCCAACTCCCAGGCTCAGGTGATCCTCCCACGTAGCTGGGACCACAGGTGCACACCACCACGCCTGGCTAATTTTTTATTTTTTGTAGAGCTGGGGTTTCTCCATGTTGCCCATGCTGGTCTTGAACTCCTGGGCTCAAGTGATCTGCCTGCCTCAGCCTCCCAAAGTGAGAACATTATAGGTCTCAATAAGGAGCTTGTGTTTCATTCTAAGAGCCATTGGGAGATTTTTTTAAAGCTGAGGAATAAAGTGATCTGCTTTACTTTTTAATGAAATCACTGTGGCTTCTGGGTGGGGAAATGGATGATTGGAGTGGGGCAAAGGTTGGGACAGTAACAGTGAAAGACCACAAAACAATTAGGAGTAAATAGCCATAGAGTTGCCCGTCACTCTCACCTGAGTTCCTGCTCCTTAGAAATTTTATCTCCTCTAGCACTTTGATCATTCAGCGTTGGATTTCCTGTTCTAGTCATGTTTATACTTAGTGTTTTGTTTCCACGTTTAATATAGAGGTTGGCTCCTCCTTTGTGCTGTCCTAAGGGAAGAACTCACATCTTACACCGTTTTTTAGCATACCTCCTAGCAACCCAGTGAGCCTGTACACAGTCCTCAATTTATTTTTGTTTTTTGAGACACAGCCTCACTTATCCAGGCTGGAGTGCAGCAGTGAGGGTTCAAGCAACCCTCCTGCCCCAGCTTCCCAAGTAGCTGGAACTACAGGCTTGCATCACCATGCCCAGCTGATTTTTTAAATTTTTGTAGAGATGGAGTCTCCCTACGTTGCCCAGGCTGGTCTCAAACTCCTGGCCTCAAGTGATCCTCCTACCTCAGCCTCCCAAACTGTTGGCATTACAAGTGTAATCCAGTGCACCCAGCCAAGTCTTTAATTCAAATTAGTGAGTATGTGTAGTTGTTTTGTATTGATGTGTCCCCAAATCAGTGTTCTCTTCTTTAGAATCAGAGTTCCTAAACTGAATAGGTATTAATTTATACAAACATGTATTTAAAATATGCTTGTTTATAAAGCTTTTTTGGTTGTAGCTTGAAATAAAAGGTCCCTAGGAAGGTAAGGAGATGATACTACGTGGACATACATATACATTCCCACACATATATATATCACCTGTCCACAGGAATTCAGGCACTTTAACATAAATATCACTTTATGTGTTTATCATGTGTTTAAGCATAAATGCTGTGGTATTATTACCTTCATCTTATGGGCATCAGATCTAATGCACACAAGGTGGCATGATGTTATTCCAAGTCATCTAAATCTTGCTACTCAAAGTGTGGTCCACAGACCAGCACATTTGGCATTCTTTGTGAGCTCATTAGAAATGCAGACTTTTGAGCTGGGCACAGTGGCTCACATCTGTAATCCCAGCTAATCGGAAGGCTGAGGCAGGAGGATTGCTTGAACCCAGGAGTTTGAGGCCAGCCTGTAGAAGATAGCAAGACCCCATCTCTAAATAAAAAACAATACAGCCTTTAAGTCCTACCCTAAACCCACTATAATTTGCATTATATGCAAAATTTGCATTTGTAGCAAGATCCCCTGGTGATTTGAAATCAAAACTTGTCTAATCATTGAAAGAGAAAGGATGAAACGAGTATTCTGTCTCCCAGCCCCTTTCCCTGTTCACTGGACCAGGCTGAGCAGAACTTTCTTGTGCTGCATTTTGGAAAAAGGGAAGTTGCTGTTTAATTGGAAATGTTTATTAATTAAAAATTACTTCCCATAGGCCAGTGAGCTTCCTTTTTATTTTATTTATTGCTTTCTCTTCTAAGCTGCCTCCTTCTCAAGAGTTGAAAATCCACTGTCAAGGCCGGGCGCGGTGGCTCAAGCCTGTAATCCCAGCACTGTGGGAGGCCGAGGCGGGTGGATCACGAGGTCAAGAGATCGAGACCATCCTGGTCAACAAGGTGAAACCCCGTCTTTACTAAAAATACAAAAAATCAGCTGGGCTTGGTGGCGCGTGCCTGTAATCCCAGCTACTCAGGAGGCTGAGGCAGGAGAATTGCCTGAACCCAGGAGGCAGAGGTTGCGGTGAGCCGAGATCGCGCCATTGCACTCCAGCCTGGGTAACAAGCGAAACTCCGTCTCAAAAAAAAAAAAAAGAAAATCCACTGTCTTTTTAATGACCATTTTTCGGAGACCATTTTTTAGTTTAAATAACAACGCTCTAGCAAATGTGTGATATGCTAATTCCAGGAACTTTATCAACTTTGTACCTGTTTAAAATAGTGTCATTTAGGTGCAGCAATAGCACAAATGATGAGAAAGGAATACTATTTATTTTAAAGTATGAATCAGAGAATGTTTGAAAAGAATAAAATATTTTTAGACAGTATTTTTAAAAGAATAAAATATTTTCAAAAACTTCATTTTGCCTTGATATTCAAGATTCGAGGTGGCTTAGAAAAATGAGTGGTGAGAACAAAGGATAAAAGAGCAAAAGCCAGGTAACCAGAGTGAGTAATGTTGGAATTAAATCAGAAAATTTAGCCTAAGTAAAGCTACTAGCTCTTTGCAGCAGTCCTGATCAGAAAGGAAATTTGGTGGGTTATAATTTACAAAGCTCTCTTTAATAAAAAGATAACTTGTCAATTAGGAGAGCAAACCTTGCTTTAATGTTGACTTTAAAGAAATGTATTGACCATCTAATAAAGGACATTGAATAACACTTGTATGATGATTTGAAAGAAGTTTTCTAAAACTCTAGAATTGTTCTTAATATGGCCATTTTAACATAAGCACTTTTAAAGAAAAAGTAAAATTGACAGGTGAGCTAAATTTCTGGTGATGCCTGGTGATATGCCTATATTGAGAAACTCGAGAAGATGTAAATATTTTTTAGGCTAGCTTTTTTTTTTTTTTTTTTTTTTTTTTTAAGATGATGTCTCACTCTGTCTGCCAGGCTAGAGTGCAGTGGTATGATCATGGCCCACTGCAGCCTTGAACTCCTGGGCTGAAGTGATCCTGCCACCTCAGCCTCCCAGGTAGCTGTGATGGGACCATAGGCGTGCATCACTATGCCCAGCTAATTGTTTGTTTGTTTTTGAAACAAAGTCTCACTATGTTGCCCAGGCTGGTTTCAAACTCCTGGGCTTAAATGATCCTTCCCTCTTGGCTTCCCGGCATGTTGGGGTTACAGACGTGAGCCAAGGCTCTGGCCACACTAGTTCTCTCGACTGCCAGTTGTCTTCTGTCTTCTCTGGTTGGGAGAGAGGTTGTAGTTAACCCTGTTTACAGATTAGAACCACCTGAGCTTTTCATGACACTCTTGCACTGCTTTGGAGAAGAGGCCTGTTGTAACTGGAAAGGAGCATAAAGAGGTCTGTGGAACGCTAGTGATGTTCTGATTCTTGAGCCGAACACTGGCTGCACAGGTGTATTCAGTTTAAAAAACAATGGACATAAGGGCCGTACACCTAAGACAGGTAACCCTTTTCTATACGTATATTATACTTTAGTCCCCTCAGTTATCTGAAGTAGCTCCTGAGCATGACTGTTTTGTAAAAGCGCTCCATTTTTTTTCTCATGTGCTACCAAGAGTTAGGAACTTTGTTACAGGTACTTAAAAATCACTGACAAGTAACTTAAATGCATATAGCAAGTCATTTACTAAATACAGGTACTCTGTAGTTGACCAAAAGGAAACCCAAATGTTTTAAGTATCACAGATGAAGGTAGGAAATTCTTGGTGTCAGGTCCCAGGGTCCGGATCCAGCCCTTGCTGAAGTCCAGTGCGAGTGGGTGGATGAGCAGAAAGAACACTTGGGGGCATAGGCAGGTAAATATGATTTTATTAATCAGCAGCTCTTACTAGCAACTTACTTATACTAGCTCTTTCACACTGTGCACCTTTACGTGAGCTGC